CATATAGTACTCATCGCTAGAGTGGCTTCAAGCCACCACTGGAAATCAAATCATCCTTCAGAAGGATAGTTCATTGTCTTAACCACTGAGCCATTGTGGTTCAACGAATTCATTTATTAACTTAAAGTTAAATATGGTTTGAACTATTATCTTTAAAATACCATGCAACCGACCGGCCTGTGTAGGGGTTAGGGAACTGCTCTTGCATCAGAAAGGTTCTGGGTTCTAATCCCGGGCAAGGCATGGATGTTCTTTTTTTCTCTTTACTATCTATCCTTAGTGTGGGAACAACGTTGGCCCACCTAATATGTTGCCACTAAAAAAGTGGCCAACAAATCTGCCCTTCAAATGCCTGTATGACCAAAGTCATTATCCAGGTGGGTATTGGAAAAAAAATATCATGCATTTCAAATATACTGCGAAGACAAATGCAAAATGCAATCAAATGCTTATCATTGTAAAAGTAGTTTTTTTTTTAACTTTTGCTTGCTATCGCGCGTTTTTTTTTTTTTTTTTCTCATCATTTTTTTTTACATAACTTTTTTTTCAAAACATTCCTTTCTTTCTTTCAAATCCCTCAAAATCAAAACCCAATCACATATTAATGAAAATACTTGTCGAATGGCAAAGATTGAAAAGAAAAATTTAATTAGCTCACATTAAAAAAGTGTATACCTTTGAAATTTACCCAAAATAAAGTTTTGCCATTTCTTTTAAATGGAAAGCTTTCTAGAATTTAGCTATAAAAAAAAGACTAGAAAAGGGAGGTATCTGTCGTGCCAGCTTAATTGCAGATTAAAAAAAAGGTTCTGGTGTTACCAGAAATAGGTAAGGATTAGAAAGCCTTAAAAATCTTTCTCTCAAATATTAAAGATTAATAATTAAATTCTTTATCTAAGGTAATTTACGACACATTAAAAATCTCATCATGAAAGTACAAAGAAAAAAAATTGTTTTCGTTGACAGCCTTGACAAAATGCTCTCAAATTCTATCAAACCTTCGACAAGAAATATAGGAAAGTCTAATATGCAATAATTAGTGCAAATTATTGCGTATAATTCAAATACTTCCATCCATTTTTCTGGTTATCTTATCTTCTACGCCATTATGTAATTATATCGCCATTTCAATTCCATGACATAACAGATTCAACAAATGTGCAGTGTACGAAAAAATAAACGGACCACGCTGAATGACTCTTAATACAATAATTGGGTCTTCATAATCTAGGAATCAATTTTAATGGTTCAAGAGGGTGGCCATGGAATATGCTAAATAATTAATGCAGGTGATATTTTAAGTTACAAAATAAAGCTCAAAAATGCATTTGTTCTAATTAAACATATCGTTTTTTTTTTTTTTTTNTTTTTTTTTTTTTTTTTTTTTTTTTTTTTTTTTTTTTTTTTTTTTTTTTACGCATTCGGATTTCTGACTCTCAAAATATAGGGGGTAGTCACAGTTTGAGAATTATGGTCCAGATTGTTCCGTCGAGAGAGCGATCCAAAGTTTGAACCCCTTCCTACGTATTTCACCGTATTCCGAAAACTCCTTAAACGAAATTTAAAAAAATTACGCACAATTATGAAATAATGAGCATATATGAGGGCATTAATAATAATGAGCAGAACTGCATTAATTAATTATAATATTTAAGAGAATTCCGTCGAATTATTAAGATTGAATCCTGAACGTGAAGATCCGATCATTATATCAAAAGTTATTCTGTAGGGTCTGTTTATTTCTTCTCCGCACTGTACAGAAATTTAAATTTAAAAAAATCACTACGAAAAATTCTAAACAAATTCATCATATGACATTTTCTGACTAATACTTTAAATATAGTGTGATTTCAACAAAAGTATTTTTAATGCATTACAAATCTTTCTAAACATATATGGTAAGTGGTAAAAAAATATTCCCATTGCATACGAAAATATGGTTTGGTCTTACCCCATGTTAATATTATTGGTATATATAGGTATATTGATTTACATGCCAATATTATATTTCATTTCTCTCCAAAATTTCTCACAGAGCAATACTCGTGGTCCCTTTATAGTGACAGTTCTGAAAATCAAGTAAATTATTTTGAAATATTCAAATTTATTTCAGATTTCATCTCAAACAGCACATATTAATCCTTTAGTTGGTAACGTATATTTTCAGAATTATTGGATTGTTTTAAATCATAATATAGTTTGAATGTTTTGAAAACCTTAACCGTTCAAATAGAATATTAGATTCTCGGAACATGCCCTGTTTTCAAAAAGATAAAAACTGGTAACTTAACTATTGCATTCTTAACATTTATCTTGGAACATTCATATACACCAATATTCAAATCTGTATTTTATTCTGAAATCATTTCACTGGTATATTTTTAATTCCAATTTGCAGCTAATGAACTGAAATATATGCTTATCGAAAATGGGCCACCACTTTTTTCATTAAAACCCTTTTTTCCATTATTACAAACTGTTAAGGCGACAGATAGGGGGTTAACATGGTATGAAATTGAATTATGTAATCGGACATCCTAGCCATGTAATCTTACTGTGTAATAGTACTTCCTGATTACTCGCCAACTGGACAGTGTAGGGGACAGGGAATTGGCATTGAGTCAGAAAGGTTCTGGGTTCGAATCCCGGGCAAGGCATATATGTTATTTCATTCTCTGTACTATCTGCCCTCACAGTGCGAGCAATGTTACCCCCCACCTAATATGATGCCCCTGAAAGAGTGGCCAACAAATCTGCCCTCATACACCTGAATTGACGAAATGTCAATTCAGGGGGGGGGGGAATTGAAAAAAAAAGAATCGTTACACTATAATATTATTCAACTTGAGCTGAAACTTGGTTAAAAAAACACCTTAATAAGGTTGCTTTAATTTAAACCATACTATAGTTCATTGGGTAGATATTATAGTTTGATTTTGAAACTGTATTTTTGAGAGTATAGATATTTCATTTTTATTTTCAATTGATTTTTTTCAATGTCGGCTATGGACTTGAAAGTTTTTTTTAGAATTATAATTGCTTTATTTATTTGAATATTATAAACTCATTTTATAAGAATTGTTTCCTGGAAATCTCATGCCATTTTCGACATTATTAAATTGTTGGCATTTCGCGTTATGTCCCCTATTTGCATACTTTTTCCACTATTTTAAATACATCAAAAACAACTCAATAATTTATATTTCTCTTAGTATTTTTTAAAAACAAGGTTTGGTGATTTTCATAAGTTTACGGCATTAATATAAAAATTATTATTAAAAAAATTTCCACTCAGGTTTTAAAGGATGAAGCAGCATTTGAAAAGAATCAGTAGCATCAGTGCAAACGGGGGGGGATAGCACATTTCCTGAATATTGATGCTCATGTAAATTTACTTTCAAGCTTACTGTGTATAAGTACGTTATTTCGCTTATTACATTTTCTAAATCACATAGATTTTTACTAAGTACTATGTTGGAAAAACTAATTTCATTTTGAGTTTTAATTTTTCATAAAACTTTTAAGTTTTTAATAAAAAATAAGATTCCTTTAAATTGAAACTGTAATACAATAGCTATCGAGTGAAGAAAATAATTCTGGAAAAATTACTGTACCATACGGTAATGACATTTTTTACTTTTAAAAAAAAAATATTTATTTTGTTTAATAAAGCCAATGAGGTATTTAAACCATTCATTTAGTAATTTTTCAGATTATATGTTTGTGGGAAATTCTAGTTCTCAAAATGATAGTTTTTAATACCACACATTTAGTAAAAAATATAAAACTGAAAAATAAATCTTACCGAATAAAAGGTTTTTATGCCATGCCCTAAGGCATCATGATAAAATTATCATATTTTACCACATTTAACAAATTGTATCACAAATTATAAAAATCTATCTTGTTGCTGATTTTACCAAAAACATCCGAGCTTCTTAGTGTTCCCGTTGAGCTAGAAACTCGGTAAATTTTACCATATTCTGGTAGTTTTGATCATTTTTTTCTCAATGTATTAATACTATCAACTTAACTGATAATTTGATTGTTACTAAAACGATTAAAAAAAACGTCCATCTTTAGTTTATATCTACAGAATTTTGCAAAAAATAGCGTGATTGTGGAAATGTGGTCGGCAATGCTCCCAGGCCGCCTTTACTAAAATTTTACCACTTTCTGGTAATTTTGACAATTCTTTTTTTCTTCTTGGTGTGAATTAGGAACTTCATAGAGCATTTAAACAAGAGGCCTTATTATCAGAAACTCAAAAATTTCTTAAAACTTTTCATTTTTTAATAATCTAAAATTTAAAGCACGAAAAATACAAAACTTAGAAATGGTTTGTTTAGTTCATCAACAGTTCAAATAAAATAAAGTAACTGAAAAGTAAAGGATAGTCAAATATATTTTATTTTATTCAAGTAAAGACAAGTAAAATTATCAGGAAATATTTATTACTTTCTTTAAAAAAACAGTAACTTTTCAGACAATAAAGCTGTTTTAGTTGAGATAACAGAAGAGAATTACATTGATATATGAAACGATTTAATGAAAATCTTTAAAATGCATTTTATTGATTCAGTAATATAAATTAGCAGAAATTAACTTGAATTTAAATCATAAATTTTAAAAAATGCTTGTATCTAATCAAATATAGAAATAAAGTTTAGAAGTAAAAAGAACTTTCAAAATAAATTCCTTAGCTTTTGCACTGATTTAAAATTTCTCGTGACCAGTGAAAACACAAAATTCAAAAAAAAAATTAAAAAGTTAAAAACTTGATCATTAGTATTGAATTTTCAACCTCATACAAATTTTATATATATTTTTAAAATACCATTTAAGTTTGCGATTCAAACCTTCCCGGAAAATACAAACTCATTGTGGAAATGTGCAAGCGAAACCATATTTCTGTGTAGTACTTAAACATGTTACTTATTTCATTGGAGTACAAATTGGAATGTTTGGCAACTTAAAGTCCAATCTAGTAAATTTAGAAATAATTTCAACAACAATTATATTTTTTGTTATAACAAACATTAATGACATTGTTTCTAAATTATAGCGAGTTAACAGCGCCACCAACCCCACCTACAGCTGAACTTCCTGAACTTCCTGCTTTCTGCAGCACACTTTGAGATGAACTTGAGGCAGAATTTGTCGCAGAACTTGCAGCGGATGATGCACGTTTTGTTGCACTTGTTACAGATTTGGAGGATGAACTACTTGTCGAGCTTGCTTTTCCTGTGGTATCGCTCAGAACAGAATTTACTGCCTTTCCTACTTTATCAAGTACGGATGATGAACTTGTAGCTGAACTAGATGAAGAACTTGACGCACTTGAAGATGAACTACTTCGGCTTTCTATCAAATTGTACAATAGTTTTTCTAAGACACTTAATAAACCACCATTTCCTGATGATAGGTTATTCAGCACTCCTCCATTTGACGTTTCTCCAGATCTATCAGCACCTAAAGCACTAGTTATTTCAGACAGCATATTGCTAGAGGTTCCAGACTTCGAGGTACTTAAGCCACTTAAAATTTCTGATAATAAATTGCTAGAGCTTTCAGATCTTGAGCTACTAGAACTTCCAGATCTTGAGCTACTAGAGCTTCCAAATCTTGAGCTACTAGCGCTTCCAGATCTTGAACTACTAGAATTTCCAGATCTTGAGCTACTAGAATTTCCAGATCTTGAGCTACTAGAACTTCTAGATCTTGAGCTACTAGAGCTTCTAGAACTTGAACCGCTTGATCCACCCGAACCACCGTTGCTCTTACCACTAGAGCTATCGTCATTCAATTCGCCTAAGGAATCACTGTTATCTTCATCCGAATCACTATTATCTTCCTCAGAACTACTGCTTTCTTCATCTGAATCACTGCTATCCTCATCCGACTCACTGCTGCTTTCATCCGAGTCACTGCTGTCTTCATCCGAGTCACTGCTGTCTTCATCAGAATCACTGCTATCTTCATCCGAATCACTGCCATCTTCATCTGAATTGCAGCAATCTTCGTCGGAGTCACTGTTTTCTTCATCCGATGCGCAACAGTCTTCGTCTGAGCCACCGTTGTCTTCTTCCGATACACAACAATCTTCATTCGAATCACTACTATCTTCATTCGAATCACTACTATCTTCATTCGAATCACTACTATCTTCACTCGAATCACTACTACCTTCACTCGAACCACTACTATTTTCTTCCGATTCACTACTGTCTTCAGCAGAAATACCCAATGAATCACTGCTGTCTTCAGCAGAAATACCCAATGAATCACTGCTGTCTTCATTCGAATCACCACTGTCTTCTTCCAAACTACTACTGTCCTCATCAGAACTATTATCAGATGATTCGTTATCATTTCCTATCTGATTATTACCACAACAAGCAACTTTCTGAGATCCTACACTTGGATTATTATCAATATTATTTCCTCTTACAACCCTTTCTGGTAGTGAAACATAACCTCTTGGGGTTGCAGAATCAGCTGGTGTTCCAATAGTGTTACTTAATCCACCTGCAAATGCCACAGGATATCCTAAAATTAGAATAAATAAATGTAAGATAAATAATGAGTGCAGATAAATGTTTATAATTACAGTCAATTTTGTTTAAAATTCTCCTCGATTTTTGAAATCTCTGCTCTTACAAAACTGAATTGAAAATGCCATAGTTCAAGATTTTTAAAAAGAAGTAAAAGGAAGGTTTTATTATATAAGTGTTCCGTTCCACTCAATGACTCGTAACTCAAATACATAGAAACTTTATTTGAATATTTTTTTGATCTCTGCCTTTTTCATTTTGAAGTAGAGAGCCTTAAAGTCTAAGAAATGTAATGTTTTACTATCTTGTTTGTTTTCAATGTATAGCAACAGAAATCAACTATATATGTACTAGTTTTAAAATAAGATATAATATACTCCTAACAATATGAAAATTAGCCCATCCTCTCTATTTGACTGTAAAATCCTCAAAAACTTTAATTTAATAGCAGAACAGTAAATTTATTAGTATTTAAAGAAAATTTATTAGTATTTAAAGTAAATTTATTAGTATTTAAAGTAAATTTATTAGTATTTAAAGTAAATTTATTAGTATNAAAAACTTTAATTTAATAGCAGAACAGTAAATTTATTAGTATTTAAAGTAAATTTATTAGTATTTAAAGCAAATTTATTAGTAAAGTAAATTTATTAGTATTTAAAGTAAATTCATTAGTATTTAAAGAAAATTTATTAGTATTTTAATTGTAGAACAGTTCTAATTAAAAACAGCCATACACAATGATACATCCCATTCTCTACCGTACATTCCATTTTACTTACCCAAGTCCACATAGGTAACACAAGCTAATCTTTAAGGCGAGGAGTTGTGACATCACTGCGTTGATTTCAATCTTTGTTAAAGTAAAGATGGGACTTATATATTTGAAATCTGGCTTTTGCGAATCATAATAAGCCAAGACAAAGAGATAATTTGATTATTTTATTAATTTAGCCGAACTTAATTACTTATGCAGGGAGAAAAAAAATTCTTTATTTGGGAGTAATTAGTTTTTTCAGTTCTATAGGTATTGTTATGGTTACAAATCATATAAAACAAATAAGTTTACCCTTGTTTCTTGACCTCTGGAATTTCTAATCGTTTTCTGAAATGATCCAATTTCGATGGAGCCTTTTACTTAATTATTATTTTTAATTATACAGTTATTATCAATTATTAATTAATCAATTATTATTTTAATTACTAAGAGTTATTTATCAACTCGATTGATTTATTTTTACTAGTATATTTGTTACACGTTACGAAATCACACACCTCATGTGCGTGCCTATGACGGACCGTAAGAAGTTCTTTCTGGTGTTTGCTCAATGGAATATGGTTACGAATGTCGTTTGGACTCAGCAACATTTTGCACATCGTGCCGTGTAGCAACAAGTTATTTTCTCCGATTCATCTCACTACAATCTGGATTCCAATGAAGGAAGAGTACGCGATAAACATTACAGAAGGTACCGTCTTCCTCCACACCGTTTTTCCATACCACAAAAACGCCTAGCATCATGGTGTGAGTAGCTGTTGGGTACAATTGTCGGTACCATCCAGTGCGAATTGCTTGTAACCTCAACAACAAACACTCGCAAAAGGCAAATTGTTGAGCAAAAGATCCTCTCTATTCTTAGATGCATTCCGGGAGGTTATTTCAACACGATAATGACATGTTTCTAAGACTGCACAAGCTCTCTTCAGTGCGCAACAGGTTTTATTTCTTCCATGGCCTGCTTATTCCCCAGGTATATCTCCTATTGAGCATGTCTGGGTTTTTATCTGATAGCCACTCTCATACAGCTCATTAGACACACAGTAAGATTAAACTTTGGCATCTAGTCGAAGCCATATAAAAAGCCTTTTTCGTCGCACTACATTCAGAATCTGCGTGATTAAATGACACGACGTGCACATGCTCTTATCGCTCAAAGCGGAGGACACATAAAATACAGATTGTGGGGAGAGAATAGTTATCGACAATTTCAACCTTCATCTATAAAAAGGTATCACGCCATTGAATCGAGTTAGCATGTCTTATATAGTAGTGAATCAGAATTGTATTTTTTGTAGTGGTAGATACACTACAGTACTCTCCCACCAGAATTATAGCTGTGATAGAATTCGATGAACGGATACCACTAGTTGATTCATTGCCCTTTTGTGAGAAGACGGGAGAGCTGTATTAAAATCACCGCACTTTTTGAGTGCTGATCATGAGAGCTGTATTATGTTCGCGGTCGTGGTCGCTCCTGTGTTGCCATTAACAGTCGAGTGTGTATAGGCCGAAGTTATGTGTAATCGAGATTGAGTAGCAACAGCGAGAGGAAGTAGATAATGTCGCAGTCACAAGTAGCAAGTCAACGGTTCAATGTGGACCATCCATCGAAGTAGGAGTGTACAGATCGAAGTTGGCATTACTATCAAAATAGGTGTGTTAATATCGAAGTGGATGTTTCTCTCTAGGTAGGCATGTTCACATTGCTTCCGGGTCACCAATGTGGGGAGAGTTGTTATCGACAATATCAACCTTCATCTATGAAAAGGTATCACGCCATAGAATCGAGTTAGCATGTCTTATATACACTGGTTATCATAAATTAAGGAAAATTCACAAAAATCGCGATAACTCAAGAAATTACACATGGAATTTTATGAAACTTACCCACAATATACAACACATAGTAAGGTATTAAACAACATAAAAAGAAATTATCAGACATTAATAGTAGTATAGAAATTAGCACATGTATAAAATAAACAAATTGGAAGTATCGGTTTGCNGAGGTGATGACGGAGTGATAAAAAAGTTAAAGGCATTCCAATATAGAATTATATCATTAAGAAAATTATACTCCTTAGAATTGCGCAGAAAAAAGCTTTATTAAATCTTCAATTGATATATTTGCAAGCTTTTAAATATCATAGCATTAAATTATTCAAAATATTAAAACTTAGCGTAAAGCATCTTTTCATACTAGTTAATTATCATCTAATACGCAATAAATCAAAATTAAATAGTAAACGACCAATTCATAATTTATAACATGTATTAAAGTAACTGGATGCAACATATTATAACTTTACGATTCGCATGTGAAATAAGCTTATATAAATATTTAAAAAAAAAATTTTACTTACGAGGTGAAACAGGATTTGGTGAAACACAAACTCCTTTTTGGCATAACTGAAAAAAATATTTAAGATTGCATCTTTGAAATTTTACATTTTTTTTTCATTACAAATTATTTTATTACAATGGGGAAATAATTTTAAAACAGAATTCTAGTGAAAAAAATATTTATTTTTTTTACATTTGCATTTACATTTGCATTTACATTTACATTTTTTTTACATAGCATTTTTACCTGAACTAATATGGAAAATGAAGAACCAGCAAGAGTGTAACTTGATATTGATATTCATATAAATTTTTGAATACATTAAAATATTTATTTTTTACTCTGTTTTTACTTTTCATAGATAAAAGTTCGAAACTCTAAAAAAACATAAGCTTATCAAAAAGATTTTGAAATGTAATATGGATTTCTTAATCAAATTTTTCAGTAAGTCAAAATATAGTTTGTACAGTGTAAACAATCAACGCGAATCCTGATGCTTTTTAATTTTAACCTAACCGAAAGAAAAATAAAAAATTTAATATACCAGCTCTTTATTTTTTATATTCAATTTAAAGGAAAAGTTAAAAATATTTATTTTCATTGAAATCGCAAAATATTTAAATTTTTGCAGTACTTTTAGCTGTTAAAAATCAGACCAAGAAGATAAAAACCAAAAGAAAATATTGAAAAGAATTTTACTCAAAATTTCACAATATTAAATAACAAATATTCATGAAACTGTTTTAGATTTTAAAAAAATTGTCAGCATTTCAATATTTCAAAAACTTTTTTTTAAGAAAATTGTGTATGAAATTCAACTTTCTAATATTTCCACAAACTATTAATCAGTTTAATCTTAGAAAGATGATCGTGAATTGCTGCCTTATAATTTTTTGAAGTATTCTTTTAAATACCAAAAAAAAGAATTTAGAAGAAGTTTGTTTTCAAGATTTCATGCCTGGAATTTTTAATTTCAATAAAAAGATTCAGCAGTACATCATAAAGATCATTCACGGTTCCCGCTCGCTTAAATTTTTTCAAAAGTTTTTTTTCTTACCATTTTTATAAATTTAATTTTCCTCAATTTATTCGGTTAGTTTTTTCTATTCGGTTTATTCAATTTATTCGGTTTTCAACTTTTTTTCAGAACAGTTTCTCCGAAACATGCTGCTACTCTTTAACAAAAAAAATCAAATGAGTCATTTTATAATATACATATTTTACTTACTCCCAAATTACTGGAAAAACCAACAACACAAAGAGCATTCGTTGGCACATCTTCCACAAATATTTTTCCACAACCTTGAAATGTTCCAATACATTGGAACTGGCAAGTGTTAAACGGATCCTGAAAAAGAAATATCTTAAAAATAAATTATTAAGATTAATAATAATACAATTGAGGGAACCATCGTGCATAGACAGAAAAGTAAAAACTCTGTATGAATTTAATAAACTAGTTGCTAATTAATTTACTTTTAATTTCTCTTTCTAAATTTTGAGATATTTCGTTTTCATAATCAAGTCTAAAGAAAATTATGAAGACAAATTTATCACGGTATATAATTGTTGTTGTTGGCGTCGTATGCCGTTAAAGCAGAGAGAGTGCGATTGTTCTGATTTTTCAGTGGCGCCATCTATGGCCAAGAATTCGACTTCTGCCCCACCTATACGTCACGCCCGTTTATAGGGTGGACCCATTCATACATCCATTCATTCGCTCAAACGTAATCTTGACTTGATCCAGAGAAAGACGAATCTCCAATTCTGTGGCCCCAGAGGTATTGATTTGTTATGGGAATATGGAGGACTTTGAGACCCGACAGATTTAACGTGCATCAGTCACCTTTTACTATACGGGGATTCAGGTATATAATTTAACTACAGGAATCAAATTCCAAAAATAACACTGGTGAACATTTTCTTCCATTGCATAAGGTTTTTTTAACAGATTTTTTATCCTTTTGTATCGCTGATTTTAAATCTGCAAACATTTTCTCTCTGAAGCTACAGTATTTTAATGATATTTTTAATCTATTTTTGCCAAAATGTACAAGTTTCAAGACGTTATATCTAACAGGCGTCACCTAAATGTTACGACAAACTTCTATCAAAGTTAGGGCACATCATTAGGATTAAAAGAGCATAAGAATTCACTACCGGATATATCGTCTTATGCCGCTACGGGCGCTTTAGGGTTATGAATTGTTTCTTCTGAACAAGTCATAATAGAGAAGCAACTTTATTTGCTTATGAGGCAATGGTTTATGAAGGCAATGGTTTCTGGGCATGGTTTACTAAGCAATTTCAACCCTGATGTTGTGCCTTAACTCACTAAACATTTGTCGCAACATCTATGCGACCCCCTGTTACTTACCACGTTTTTAAACTTGGCACATTTCTTTAAAAATACATATCGTAATAATAATTTCTTCTTTCTTCTAAAAATGCCATTCAGAAAGAAAAAAAAATCTGTAGCTTTAGGAGCCAAACTACTTTCAGACGTGAAATTCAAACACCCGAATCAAGTGAAATTAAGTGTTTGTAAGAATGCAACAAAAAAAATTTTTCCCAAGTGTAATCGAATATAAACTTTTATTCCAAATACATTAGAAGAATTAAATGTAGCATGAATAAACTAGGGCATTGAGCGTTGAAGAATGAATTTTTATTCACAAAGTATAAAATTAGTTAAAAATAACTTTTAAAACATTTTCTCTCTTAAAATACACTGTTTTTAAATTAGCATAGAATAATTTTAAGAAATTAAGCGTAAATGATAATGGATCTCAATGTATTCGATATTGCATGCCTACCATTTTTTTAATGCTTTTTAGTTTATATTCTTTAAAGAGGTAATTGTTTTCGAACTAATCAGTGGTATAATAATAATAATTAATAGATGGTTGTAATTTTCCTATTGTTAATAAGAATTATTTTAACTCTGCAAACACTTAAAATTTTAAAAGAGCAATGATAGGACTTGTATAGGTTTATTTAAATTATTTATAGTAGTGGTCAAAATCATTACAACCAACTTTTTTTAAATTAATATAATAATAACGTATAAATTTTGTTACCTTTTAAAAATAATTGATGGTTTGAATTAATGATATCATATTAGCAAATCCTTAAGCCTGAAGGCTTTCTCACAAAATGCACACATTATATTAGTTTTATCTTCGAATATATTTTGAATTATTCACGAAAATTTTTTAATAATTTACGAAGATTCACAAAAAGGATGTCAAAATATATTTTTTAGTTTCGATTGCGAATTTATTTATTTTAACAATTTAATTTTGATAGGTTATGAGTAACTTTTTTTTCATAAGATTTCATTTTGCATCAGAACAATGTTTGTATTTGAAAATTTTTATGATGCAATCTTTCATTTCATAAATGATACATTTTGTTACAAAATATTATTAAAGAAATAATTTTGTTTCGTAAGTTTTAATGATATCACTTTATTATAATAGTAAGCATAATAAACGATCCATCTGATGTAATCAAGATCTTAATTGCATCTGATCTTGGTTCAACAATTGCGTGCAATTGCAGAACCAAAATATTTTAAAAGCTGGAAAAAAATACTAAATACCCTATAAGAAAAATACAATAATCTGCTTATAGTTTTTTTTCCATGTTCAGTGTAATGATGTTTCTACTTCACTGAAAAGATTTGCAAAAAAATAAAAATAAATAAAAAATAAAAGATCTTTTTACCTCTAATCCAATAAAATCTTTTCCATATATTTTCTGACAGATACTGGTGTAACCGATATCACGGCATTGGCCACTGTAGCAAATCTAAATGATTTGAAAAACAAAATTAAATAATTCCTTAAAGGAACATAAATATTAAAAAAAATATTCATTTACATTTTTGTGCTTTTCAAGACATTGTAACAAATAATTACACGAACAAAAAAGAAAGTTTTTCCTAATTGCAAGAATCGTTTAAAAAAATATATTTTTATACAAAAAATAAGAAAAGTATGAGATAAGGAAGGAAATTACACTATTTTACCATCTATATCAGTGGTTTCCAACTGGCGGCCAGGGGGCCGCACCCGGCCCGCGGAGCGTTTTTTTGTGGCCCGCGAACTAAAATATATTAGTTGTAATTTTTTAGCGGAAAATTTTCGTAAAAAAATCTATATGGGTTTAAAATACTTTTCTCGTTAATAAAAACCTAATTTCTTCGTTTCTGTGAAATTTATCATACCAACGGTGCAAAAAAAAATTATTTCTCAGCTTTTACATCCAAGAAAATATTTATTCAAATTCAAAAATAATCGTGTATGTTGCTCTTTTTTACTTCATTTTTTTCTATTTTGTGAATATAATTTAGCATGTGTGTATCAGAAATTTTCTCGAAGAAATTCTCCGATTTAACTTTTTGAAACCACTCATTTTGGACGAAAATATTTACACACACATTTGTACATTTTAAATTTAAAATGTAAATATCTATTCTCTGGTGGTTGCAGCAGACAAACCTCAATTTTGTCATTGAACATTTTGTGTGCTACTATGTAAGTTTTAATACCAACCTTTTTAAAGTTTTATATCTTAACAATTAGATATCTGTTGCACATTAATTGTTTAATACATAGGTGCACATTAAAGTTATTGTAGCCCGAATTTTTTAATATGCAATTAAATATTTTTAAAAATCTACTTCTTATTTTAATTTGTAATTCAATACTTTTGTTTTGTACAACTTGGTAAAAATCTGACAGTAATATTTAATGTTCCTTCAAGCATAAAAGAGTCCTACATCAAATTTTGATAAAGTTGCGGCCCGCCATTTGACTTGTGTTTTTAATTGTGGCCCCCGGCCTCATGTAAGTTGGAAACCCCTGCTCTATATCGTTCCATTTCAAACTTGACCTCAGAATAACGAAATAAAATAGTTTATGTCTGTTGTGTTTATTTTTTATGCAGACTGCACAGCAGTTTAAAAAACATTATATAGGTTGCCAATTTTGGTAATTGCGGTTAGCAAAAGTAAAAGTTAAGACATGGAATCTTTCCCAAAGAGAGAAGTTGTATTTAATTTATTATGGGTGACATAATCTAAAATTAAAATATTTATTTATTTAAAATTATCTAACTAGAAACCATATTTATTTTAGAATCAAATTAATTGTGAAATTTATTATCGCGTTATTTTAATATTCGCGATTATATTTAGTTGCGTCATTTTAAAGTTACAACTGCATATTTACTTTCCAATTTAAGTACACTTTTTAATGTTTTATAACCGGTGTTGCACAGTTGACTCATTTCTGGTAATACGACTATCGATGTTCAACTCCGTAACCTTGTAATTTTTAATCCACTCAGAAGACAAGGGAACTTCTGAATTAAGCATTGGTGCGAACTAGCCCTCGTGGAGGACTTTTTTTATGAAACAAACCCGCATTTGGTTTATATGGAGAGGAAAACCACAAAAACCTTCCATAGTTAGCTCGTCACCAATGGGATTCTAACGCATAATCCGTCTACCACTGAGGGTATTTTGCATCAACACTGTAGTCGGCCCCAGCCAGAGGCGTAATTCGTATCAAGCAACCACAGTTGGGATTCAAACCGGGGTTATCTCATTGGGTGAATGTTTTATCCCCTGAATCAGTGCTGCTCAGACTATTAAATATTTTATTTTATAATTTTTATTTTATAACCGTCGCTGAACAGCCAACCCAATTTTATGGGTTTACGGCTACTAATGCTCAACTCCGTAGACTTGTAATTTTGAACCCAATCCAGAAGACAAGGGGACTCCGGAGAAATTTGCCTTCGTGGAGGACTTTTTTATGGAACTAACCCGCATTTGCATTACATGGATCGGAAGACCACAAAAACCTCCCATGGTTAGCCTGATGGCAAGGGGACTCTAATCCATGATCCGTCTACCACTGAGGATATTTCAAGTCAGCACTGTGGTCGGTGCAAGCCGGATATGGAATTCGAACCCGATTCGCCGCATTGGAAGGCTAACGTTCTATCCTTTGAGCCATCGCGGCTCAGACTATTAAATAGTAATCAATTAAAACCATTCCATTTTCTTTTCTTTTTTTTTAATGATTTAGTTAAAGATTTTCAAATCGAGATCCATGCACGGTCCGCCGAAAGAAAATTTGTGTATGTCACTTCCAAGCGATTGAGATTACTAAGCGTAGCAACACGTTTTGTTTGTTGTTATTACTCAAATACACAAATGCCAAACTTACAAATAAGCAACTGGTTTTTTATTTGTAAGTATTACGTATCGCCTGAATATTTATACGTATTTGAATAGTTCTAATTTATTGGAAAAAGCATTTTATGAAAAAAATGGGATTTTTTTCGATATAGAAGAATTAATCTTTATATCTAATAATCTAAGATATAGAAGAAATAATCTTTATATCTAATAATCTAAGATATAGAAGAAATAATCTTTATATCCAATAATCTAAGATATAGAAGAAATAATCTTCATATCTAATAATCTAGGATATAGAAGAAATAAACTTTATATCTAATAATCTAAGGTATAGAAGAAATAATCTTTATATCCAATAATCTAAGATATAGAAGAAATAATCTTTATATCTAATAATCTAAGGTATAAATGAAATAATCTTTATATCCAATAATCTAAGATATAGAGGAAATAATCTTCACATCTAATAATCTAAGATATAGAAGAAATAATCTTCATATCTAATAATCTAAGATATAGAAGAAATAATCTTTATATCTAATAATCTAAGATATAGAAGAAATAATCCTTATATCTAATTATCTAAGATATAGAAGAAATAATCTTCATATCTAATAATCTAAGGTATAGAAGAAATAATCTTTATATCTAATAATCTAAGATATAGAAGAAATAATCCTTATATCTAATTATCTAAGATATAGAAGAAATAATCTTCATATCTAATAATCTAAGGTATAAAGAAAATAATCTTTACTTTATTGGTTCCACACTTAGTGAAATCCTTTTCATTGTAATACTGATAGATTCCATTCACTGAACATCCGTAAGAGCAAGGACTGTACTGAAAAGATAAGTATTTTTAAACAGTATGGCTTATTACTTTCATATAAATATCTAATAACTCGAAAAAACGAAGAGAAATATTTAGGAATAAAATGTTCAGTTCCCATATATCGATTACTTATTCTGCACAATTTTGTATTTTCAATTCACAGTTAAAAGAAAGATTACTACTAAAAAGCAAAATTCATTTAAAGTGAAAAAAAATACAGAATTGAAAAAAGAGAAATAAGCTCAAAGATTCTAAAAAAATTAATGCCTGTTTAAAAATACAGGATTTAAAGGTAAATTTCACTTTAATTTCATTTTAAATCTCTTTAAATCAATTTTATTTTACTTTATGTCTAACTAATTAAGAAGTTTTATTTTAATGAAAAAATATTTATATTTTTTCCAAAATTGATAATACATATTTAGAATAGAAATACATACTTGCTTGATTTTTTTTTGGGGGGGGGAGCAGGGGGGGGGGATTATAGAAGATTGGGACTAAAATATGAAAGTTTTGGTTCAATCAACATCTTAAAGTTTCATTTTCAAACCAGAAAGTGTTAAGTCACAAAACAATTTATCGAAACAAAAAGTAGTATTATATTTGTGATGAAACTTATCGAATAGATTTTCATTTTAGTTATCACTTGAGTTTTAAAATGTTATACAAATAAAAATCAATCTTAAGCTTTATTTTTATTCCCTCTCTCAACTTTTGAACTATTTGTTCTATTGCCTCGTGTATGATTTCATTCGGTTTAAGATAAAAAATAAATAGAAAAAAATATCTCACCTGTTTAAATCGCTATATCAGATGCGTAAAAGGGTAAGAGTACAAATTTGAACTTTTTGAACAAAAAACCCTTATAACTTCTTAACTATTCGTCCTATCGTCCATTAGTCCTTGCTTAGTCTAATGGTTCATTGAATTTATCATGAAAAAATACATACTTCTTCACTTTGCCGTCTAAACATTCATTTCTCACTCTCGAATCACCTTGAATCCCTCAAAAAAAGGGGGGGTAGCGTTATTATAATAAATTCGGGAAAACTCCCCGACTCTCAGAAGGAAGTAAAGAAGTTTTCAGGTATCATTTATAAAAACGTAGCAAAATGTTTCGTCAAAAAAATATACCTCGGGTATTAAATTTTTTCGAAGAAATATTCTTTTATTTCCTTTAATTTACTGGACTGCTATCACAACTTCCTGCTATTTTTTTTAAAAAAGCCACGAATTTATAATATCTTAAATTTGAAACTATTGTTTTGTATTATTTGTATTCGATTTCAAAAAAAACTCTTATTTACGCTTTTAATCATCATTATTTTATAATCTTCATTGAACAGCAGACCCATTTTTGGGGGCTTTACGTCTACTAATATTCAACTCCTTAGCCTTGTAATTTTAAACCCAATCCAGAAGACAAGGGAACTCCTGGATCAAGTATTGGGAGAAATTTACCTTCGTGGAGAACTCAATGATCAAAATTGATTTGATTGAATTTTAATATCCATTTTTTATTATTAAACGTTTATTTTAAAGAAGAAATTTTCTTATTTTACATACATCTGGTAGCCCTTTTTTTTTCAATTTTTATTTTCAAAAATATGGAGATTCTCTTTATAAGTGCAGAAATAAGTACAGACATTTTGGAGTGCACCAAACCACAAAATCGTGATATTCGCTGCAATGTCAGGTAGAACTATATTATTATGCAAATTAAATAGTTTAAAACACGCTTACTTGAACCAGATTTATCGTGTAAATCAAATCATCTAAAATTAGTTTACCCGATTCAGATTAATAGTGAAAATGAAACCCTCTTAAACTTCCTTTCATGATTCAGATATTTCGCTCAAAATAAACAATCGAACCCACACACGATTGAGATTCTTAAAACAAATACTCTAATATTCACTTACGTGATTTAGATTTATAGGGCAAATCAAATCATCTAAAATTTTATTACTCGATTAATATTTTTCACGATGCAAATTAAATAATCTTAAACTTTTTTACACAACTCAGATCGTGCAAATCAAATCATCCAAAATTTTATTAGTCGATTAATATTTTTCACAATGCAAATTAAATAATCTTAAACTTACTTACACAATTCTGATTTATCATGCAAATCAAATCATCCAAAATTTTAATACTCGATTAACATTTTTCACCATGCAAATTAAATAATTTTAAACTTACTTACACAATTCATATTTATCGTGCAAATCGAATCATCCAAAATTTTATTACTCGATTAATATTTTTCACGATGCAAATTAAATAATCTTGAACTTACTTACACAATTCAGATTTATCGTGCAAAGCAAATCATCTAACTGAATTCAGATTAATAGTGCAAATGAAATCCTCTTAAACTCTCTTACATAATTCAGATACATCGTGCAAACAACGCAATCTAACTTACTTACGATTGAGATTTGTAAAAGCAAATTCTTTAACTTTCACTCGCGTGATTCCAATACATCGTACAAATTAAATACTTTTAAACTTTTTTACGCAATTCAGATTTATCCTTCAAACCAAATTATCTGAAACTTACTTACACTGTTCAGATTTATCCCGCATATTGAAAACTCTTAAATTTTATTACTCGATTCAGATTTATCCTGCGAATTAAATAATTTAAAACATACTTGCAAAATTCGGATCAATCGTGCAAATCAAATCCTCTAAAAATATCTTACCCGATTCAGATTAATAGTGCAAATGAAATCCTCTTCAACATAATTCTGATACATCGTTCAAACTGCGCAATCTAACTTACTTAACAATTGAGATTCGTAAAAAAAATCCTCTAACGCTCGCTTACACGATTTAGATATATCATTCGAATTATATACTCTTAAACTTATTTACACAATTCATATTTATCTTGTAAACCAAATCCTCTTACATGTGCTTATTCAGTTCAAATTTATAGTGCAAATTAAATTAGTTTTAAATTGCTTAAACGATTCAGATTTAACGTTCGTTCCACATAAATCTGCTCACATAATTCGGATAGGTATATAGGGAAAATCAAATCGTCTAAAATTACATTACTCAGTTACGATTTATAGGGCAATTAAATAATTTAATAATTTCAAAATTTGTGCAACCCCCTGTTTTATATAACGTTTTTGAACTTCTACAAATAGTTAAAAATTAGACTAAAAATAACATTATGAAAAAATTTGTTGCCTTAAAAGTAAAACTATTTCAGATTTAAAATCACCACACCCGAATTAAGAAAGATCAAGTATTCGCATAAATGCAACAAAAAATTTGTTCCCCAGAATAATTTTTAAAAAATGAATAAATTGAAATAATCTTTATATCCANAAGTTTCATATATTTCCATATAAAGAAAATTAGAGGGGCACTCAATCATTTTGATGTATTTTTATCTAGCGAATTCTAATTATTTTTCACGCTTCAGTTTCAATTTGCCTGTAATTTCTATATGATTCTGTACTGGAATTGCTGCTTATAGAATTGTAAAGTAGCAGTTCATTGAAATTGAGTTTTGTTCCTTTGACGCAGTTGCAAAAATTGCTTTTTTAATTGACCATTCTTTTTTTCCACCACAATTGACTTAGGAATATTTTTAAAGTCCTATATTTTTGATACTTTGATGAATTAGAGCATCAAAAACTTGTCTTTATATCTCTTTTCATAACATTTAAGATTATATACCTTCAATCACTTCGGGTTTTTTCAGGAAAATCTGAAATTACCTAGGTAAGGTGATTTAAATCTCTTTTTTTTTTTTTTGAAGAATTTATTATGCACCATTTTTTTCCTAACTTTCTTTTAAATAAGGATCCCAGAAACAAATTTATTTTTCGAAATAAACATTATCTTATTAATAAGTATTTGTATAGATTTGGTCCCATGTTAACTTTAGTCCCTTCATGCTCAGCGATTAAATTTGATTAAGGGTTTTGATATGACGTATGCATTTTCTAGGAAAATTTTTAAAAAAGTTGCTCTGTTTGTCTTATGACTTTCGTATTATCCCCTAAACCACAATAATATTTTATACCCTTTTTAGCTTAGCTATATTCATACATTCATTAGCTACATTCATTGCTACACTACATTAATTACATTAACCGTTCTTGGATCAGTTAAAAATCATAGTGATCTCGCTTTAACTCAAGTTTCGTTTATTTTTTTAATAAAACAAAAACCTATTTAATGATACCGATTGCAGTGACAAATTATTTTCCACAGACGCAAAATGGAGCAAACTTTACACATTATTGCCTTTATTTGACAATTACTCTCTGACTTTTTCCGAATTATTTCAGAATAGCCAGTTTTCCAATTAAATATAATTAGGATTCTTTTATCAACAGCATACTTTTGCACAATTTAATATTCAAGCGCTACTAAGAATTTAGTTTACAATTTTTGTTTGCAATTTTCTAACATGAGAGTGAAGTAAAAAAAGAGAGAAGAAAAGGAATAATTTTTCATACCATTAGAGATGAGCATAAGAGCTGCAACAGCAACAGCAACGATGTATTGGAAGAATCTCATGTTTGGTTGAGGTTTTCTTTTCACAAAGTGTGAACTAACTCTAAATATAACGATTTCTAGAGAAGTGTGGTTCATATGGCTCGTTCCTCTCAATTTATATTCGATATAATCCTTAACTATTACTTAACCACATGACACAAAAATGCAAAATTGACACATAACTACTCCTTGCAGATATAATTTGCATATCGGTGTTTGCTCATAGGAATTAAATATTCATTTTTATCCTTTTATTATACTTCTTAACTCACCATTCGTACTTTAATTATGTTTGTACAGGTAATTTCATTCCGGGTTTGATCGCGAATTCCGGAAAAAGGGATTAATTTTATACTATCAGTTTCAGGAATGAAAAAGAAAACTTTTATATTACAGGTCATAAAATCGAGTTATGTCTTCTAAAAATGCAGCAAGAGAAAAAGAACTTAATATGAAACTACGAAGTATGAGTCAAAAGA